AAAATTCAACATTTTTTTCTTATATTTATCGCATAGGTAAATTTTTCCAAACCACTCAATATAAAAAAAAGAAGCAGACACACACAAGCTGCAAAAAGAAAAATGCTTGGAAGTATCATGTTAGAACAAACAACTGATTGTTTTAATAAACACAAGTATTTTAAGAATCTTCACTTTCTTCACCATCGTCGTTGGGTGTGGGTAAACAACCAAATTTCTTGTCCCATTCATGATAGGCCTAAAGATAATTATACCCTGTACCCTCATATTCTTTACCTTTAAATCTTTTTTCATTACTGTTGACCGAACGACATAACATGCCCCACGAAAATCAAAAATTGAGATAAGGGGATCTAAATCATGTTTTTTGTTTAGGCATACAGAAACCAAGCTTACATTTTCAATCGGCACTGTCTCAATGTCATACTTCGAGCCATTAACAATATCCCTGATTGGACCCATAGCTGCTTCACTACATAAGTTTCACATATCGGCTCCAGAATACCCTAAGATTACAAATATCTCAATCAAAATCAAGAGTTGGCCAACTAACCTCTAGTTATCTGTGCAATTTCACCAAGTTCCGGAATGCTGTGAACATTTTGCCGGAGGGAGTTTTCAACCTGAAGCCAAAATAGACAAGGTAAAAAAAACACTAACCATTTGTCTCCTAGATAACTCCTCGAGCAATGGTACGTAAAGTCTTTTTGCAAAACGTCGTGGTGCTGCCAGGTCCAGTTCTTGTGGTCTAAATTTGTCGGGCGAACCCTTACTAATTGGTTTGTTTTTGTTTAGCTTTTTTTACCACCGATTGGTTGCTCCTAAAACCAGAAGTCTTTCTTCAGCAGAAGTTGCGACACCATCAAGCTGAACCAAAAATTCGATTTTAATCCTAAATGTATTTTAAATAAACAGTTTGCTAGTCACAGCCTTCTTGAAGATTCTTTTTAAGTTTGACCGATACTTCAATTTCGGTTTTAGTGACCTCATCAATGAAGATAACACTTGGATCCTTTAGCCTAGCAACGACAAAAGACATTTGTCATGTTACACATTCCGTTGTCAATTTTGCTCCCTCCAGCTGTTTTGAAATCGTTTGCATTACTCATGCTTGGAGTCATAAATTCCCTGCTAAAGAAAAAATTATTCCCTGGAAAAATCTCCTACTTTTTCTGCGTAATTGTTGACACGGTTCTTCGAACTGATAGCTCAACATTTTCTTCAAGTTCCTCATGGCGCCCACCATCCTAAACTCTCTACATAACAAAATTAAAGATAAAATGTAACCGGATCCAAGATATTCAGGATTCATCGCTCCGGGTTCATAACTAACGGACCGCCGCCAAATTCAAAGTCACAGAGATTCAAAGGCCGCTTCACGGCAAATAAAAAATTAGAATTCGTTGAATTAGCCCATTTATTTCAGCAGACATAGGTATACCAAAAAAGTACAAATTCAACTCACAAAATAAACCATATAGCACAGAAAAAGACGTATACACCAAAAAAATTAGTATTTCTTTCCAGATGGATATTTATTTGGAAAGACTTCGCTTCGGGTAATCGAGGTGAGCGTCAGTGGTAATTCTCCCATTCCAGAAGCAGCTTCGCACTTAAGGTTACTTCGTGGCGGTCGTCTAACCTAAATTTCAAGATTATCAGACAAAATATTAGCATTTTACTTGTTTAAGAAGATCCGGGTCCACTCTAGGACTCAGCATAGCGTGTCCCGAAAGCTAAAAAAAATATCAGAAGCTGCAATAAAAAAAGTCTACCGATCCATCAAAGTCCAAAAACATTCGCATGGCTCGGTGTTCCAGCCATTGTTGGTAATTTTCTTGAAGCATGGGAATTTCGCCAACCAGATGTTCAAAGAAGCGAGCAACACATCTTGTTATGTAAATGTACTAAAACAAATTATTGCTTTTCCATAAAAAAATCCAGCTACCTGAATTGGTGTTTCAACACAGAACGGGCGTTGCGATCTTACAAATTGGATTGCCGAATAAATAGTATGCTAAACAGGTTGATAAAGAACTGAAAACTTGAAAATACTAACCTTATAAGCTGGACCACGCAGCAAACTGCAAATTGCTGTTTCGATGGAAACCAAACATCCAGCACGACTAATCCCCAAGTGATCCATAACTGAAATTTAAACCGAGATACAGACAATCGCTAGAAAGTTTGGTTATTGCAAAGCTGGCTGGCTTACCAATTACTGGTTCAGAGCAGTTTCTGGAGACGTGAAGCAAACGCAGTGGGGCCTAAGAATATTTAGTAGAAACAGACCTATATTTTTCTTACTTCAAGATCCTTTGCATCATTCATATCGGCCTGCCAATGTTCCAATAAAAATGAAGTTTTGGTTGCAAGATGACGGATTTCCAAATAAGTCACCTAAACTTTCAATTAATTTTACGAACACAATTTTTTACGCAAAATAGCGGATCAGTGGCTTCATCCACACCCAAGTTGACAATTAAAAGGTCATCATCTTTGTGCTGCTCTTTGTATTGAACTTTGTATTGCGAACCTTTGAGTCTGAAAGAAAAATTATTCCTTAACTTCTGTCTAATGTGTTACTTGGGCCAATATGATGCACATCGAGAAGTATCATCTTTACCAATTAGCATGAAAATGTATGGGCTCTTTTTGCTCCAAACCATTTGCCAGAAATCACCTAAAACATATTAGATGCAAAACCGAAACGCTATTACCGATAGTGTTCTCTAAGGGAGCTTGAGTTAAAATGAAAGAGTTGAAAAGCGGCCCTCCTTTAATCTAAAACTTGCTTTTTAAAAAAAGGATAATCAAAGTTTCCAACCAAGTTTGCGTGAATGAAAGTAGCTTCTGTGCCAGCAACATTCAATAGTTCTACTCGGCTATCATCCTTGCATGTAACTTCTAAACTATTGCTTTAGCATATAAACTAAATTAAGCTTACGAGGATTACGGCATTTTCCTGGATTTCTATCAGACCAAATATGGGTGAATGGTTGATATTCAACCTGACTGTCGAGAATCTCGAATCTAAATAACAAATAGCTTTTAATAGACTCGTTTCAAATACCGCCGTTCCATGCCACCCGTAATCGTGCTTAAAAACTTTTGCTTTCTTGCTGGACCAAACATCCGCTTGCCAAGGTAAATGTTGTTATAATCTAAACTGTCAATTTAACGACAACGTAAAACGAATACTAACATTCTCCATGGATTCGTTGTTGATCTTTATCAATGGAAACCGAATGAAAGAAGGCGACTAGGCGCATCATCATACTTTTTAAGTCAATTTGTTTTTCCATGAAGTTGTTCAAAGTCTCATTCTTCCCAATATTAGAGCTTCCACTTGTTTGGGACTAAAATATCACTTCGAGCTGTCGTAAAATAAAATCATACCGATCCTTGACGATTGCTCTGGGTATTAGGTTTTTGATTTAAAGCAGGCGATTTGAAGAAAAAGCTTGGACCTTTCTAAACAGCAAAGATTGTCGCTTTATCCATTTAAACTAATGCATACCGTAGGCTTTGCTTTGTTCACGCCAAAAGGAATACTACGTGGTTGTTCCATACTCCTGAACATTTAAAGTAAATGCGTTTTCGAAACAAAAACTTACTGGCTGCGCTTCTTCTTGATAGTTTTGGGCTCGATCAGGTCGCGATATCCAAAAAAATCGTATTTAGTGTTAAATCCAGAAGACACATTGAGCACTCTGAACATGTTATAGTTAAAAACACTTTTCTAAATCCCACGAGTGATGATGATTTAGCTGATCGAATTCACCGACAAAGCTAGCAATGGAGAGCACACGTTCAATTTTGGCACCCCGGCCACCACCAGTCTAAAAGTATTGCAAAGGTTAAAAGAAAATGTAAACTAACAATCGTTCGAAGCTGTTCTCGATTGAGATCCATTTCTGATGATCACCTATAATCAAAGAGCCATTGTTGAGTAAAAAGGAAACAATAAAAAAGACTCGAAAAGTTGGTCAGAACGGAAAGAATTTGAATTCTTTTTCAGATTAGTCGAAGATTTAACTGTCTACTTAGGTAGGTAGGTTCACTAGAGGAGGGTTTAATGGATGATCTATCATTTGAAAGGTTAAGAGGTGGCCAGTCGATCCATCTAGAGGAAATATTCAAAAGATAAATCAGTACTGCTGATGGAAAAAATGTTCAAAAAAATTGTGACAGCGATGCGGAACAAAGTACCTTGCAAATTACCGTAATTTTTTTGAGACAGAGCACTATAATTACAATGACATTCTGTGTGAAACTCGCCTTAACGGCTTCCACAACTTGGTAAGCACCAAAATTCTTTTTTCCTTCTTTTCAAAACAACCTTTAGCTATCATTTACCGTATTCTCTCTAATAGTAGTGCGCACTACTATTTTTTCAACCCCCTCCTGGACCGCAATACTATTAAAGAGTGCACTACTATTAAAGAGTTTTATCATTTACCAAAGTAAGACAGATATAAGATTTGTTCCAAAAATTCTTGCAACTCTTTCACGTACTCCTTTGGTTCCTTTTGACATACAGTTGTGGGCCGGCGAGTTGACAATTTGTGTGTTGACAAACAACAAAAAGATGTTTTTGCCCTTTGCACAACAATTTTAGATTTTTTGCTAACTTTTTCATGTGAAGAATAGTTAATAAATGAATAAAAAAACCTCACTTTTGCTTGCTTGAATAGCTTTAGAATGTCACATAAACATAAAGTCAAAAAGGTTTAGATGAAAAAGAAGCACCAGAAATTCAAATTTTCGTGGGTGCACTACTATTTTTTCAACCCCCTCCTGAACCGCAATACTATTAGAGAGTGCACTACTATTAAAGAGTGCACTATTATTAGAGAGAATACGGTATGTGCTGTTGATGTATTGTTACCTTGTTATTAACGTACTTGGAACACTTATTTGTTCAATATCGATGAAAAACCAAAAGAATTATGATTTTAAAAAATTTATTCAGCGCGCAATCTAACGATATAAATTCACGAGTTGCCTTGGGTTAATAAGAGCTTCTCAGTAGCACCTAAACTGTAATGAAAATATTAAGCATTAAACAGCAGCGGAAAACCTTTATGTTGTGGCATGGGGCTTTTAGCGGTTGGGTCCGAGCGCGTTAATTTTTCGAGTAGAGCTTTTCGGCGTTTGTCCAAAGTATTAGGGAGAATCGTCTTTGGTCGCATTGTTTCGAAACTGACTTGCAAAGTTTTAGTGACACGCATAACCTTGAAAAGAAAATTTAATGTTTTATCAAAATTTCAGACCGATCCAGAGTTCCGATCCGTTCCACAATAGTTAGGTGCTGTGAAAATCGTACAAAGTTGACCATCAGCCTGAATTGCATGGCCATCCTAAAACCAAAGTGCTTTGAAATATAGCTTTTAAGCAACCATAACAAGTTCGTGTGCTCGAACAATCATATCGACGTTAAGTTTAGCACAGAATTGTTTCACAGCATCATCACCAAACAAGTAGGACACCGATCGGAACTGAAAAAAATACAGCTCATACCTATATGTTTAACTGACCATATTGGGAACGAATCCACACGTATCTTGAGTTGGATCGGCCCACATCAAATCAAGAGCAATTCCCTCGTCACATTCTTTCACGGTTTGAGGTTTCTAAATAAACGATTGGCTTCAAAGTAAACTTAATATTGCCTTAAGTTGTCGAACTATATCCCATGAAGTGATATGAGGCGAGATTCCACCATGCTAAAATGCAAAAAAGTCACTTGATTAAATCGTCAAAGTCTCACCATACAAAAAATTCGCTTGCTGACCAATGCACATAGCGGAAGCTCATTAAACACCTTAAGAAAATAAATAATTAACACCAGATATGTTACCCCTTGAAAGACTTTCCACATTCGAACCGTTCTTTTCCTTCTTAATTCCTCGTAAAAACCATAAGAGCGATTGATCTAAATTTAAGCAAATTTTAACATTGCAACAATCATTTACCTTTGCACACTCGTGATTCCCTCGCAACAATTCAATTTTCGACGGATAAAGGAGCTTTAATGAAAGAAGTAGCATGATCACCTAAAACGTAAATCGATAAAAGAAACTATTTGCTTTGAACCTCCAAAGATTTTCCACAACGATCGACGTAGTCTCCGAGAAAGAGACACTTTGTTTTTGGTGGTGAGCCGACAACCTAAACTTTCATATAAGTAAAAGTAAGCGTTTCATATGGAACCTTAAAGAAGCGAAGAAGATCCTGGAATTGGCCATGGATATCCCCAAAAATGACTAATGGAGCGGTCATCTGAACTGGATATTATTGCATTGCAAAACAAAGAAAGATGTAAACCTCGATGAATGCTGATTGACACAAAAGAACACGACGAACTGCCTCGAGGATCACGTAGATCTTAATAAGGTCAAAAAAAATTGATACGAGTACTTAAATGATACCTCATCATCACTGAATGATGCCATCGTTTCTCCTTTCATAAGACGACGAACAATTCGGTGTGCCAACGATTGGACGTCATTTGGCTAAAGTGATTCAGTTTGGTTTGTAAAAGTTGAATATTTTGTGTGATAAATAATCAATACTCAGTATACAAAAAACACGCATTCTTTTAACTAAACAGTTTCGTGAAATAAAATCCCTCGCAAAAACATACCAAATTTTTGGCCTCCTGAATCGATGACATTGAAAAAATAGCCAATTGAACACGTAGATCAGAATCAAGCCGAGTAGCAAATGTGAATCTGGAGGAATAATTTTTGATGTGTTGCTTCCCATTTATTCGAACCTTAAATACAAATTTAAATTTTTATTTAAAACGACACGCTCCGATGCTTTGTTTCAAATAGGTAGTTGAAAAACAAAAACCCCTTGCCATCGTTAGTGGTTTGAACAATTTTGTGGCGACTAGAACGAAGACAGGCATTCAAAGGCCACGAGTTGAATTCACTTTGTGAACTTTCAAAATACATATTTCACTGAAATATTATGTTTTACTTTTTACAAAGCGAACAAACCTTAATTCTTTTAGCCAAAAATCAAGAATGTGCTCTTGTGCAAGTGTCACAATAAGATATCGTCCCATTGGCTTCAGTACTCTAAAATCTGGATGAGCACATTTATATAATCAAATTTACCGTGCAACTTTAGAAAACATTTTTGAAAGCATTTCTTTTTGTTCATCAGCGGGTTGCGGCGACGGAAACATTGCAGCGAGAGTTCCTTTATCGAGTACAACATCGAAAGTCGAATCAGCAAGCGTCAACTAAATATTTCAGTGATTATTTAAGACTTAAATAGATAGAGATAAAAATTTTGGTACCTTTTTAGCATCATCAACAGAAAATAAGAGTCCTTTATGGTTCCGATTCTTGGCCGATTCTTGCTTGATCACTTTTGCGTTTGTATCCATTGAGTGGATTTGGCGACCCCCATACCTACAAAGAACAAACTGTTCAAGACTGCTAAATTGGTTACCATTCAAATTTCTTCGCTTTCTGCGAAGAATTGGTACTTGTGGAGTTGGGGGCCACTATATTTTTTTCAAAATGACTTTTTCTGAGGTAGTTTTTTTTCACGAAATCACGAATTTCATAGTGGGAGCTTGGGAAAATGCGTCTTAGACCACCTTTTGGGATCCGAAGTCGTCGCCTCTACAGTGTACTTCACTGCGAGCTCACTCTTAGCTTCACTATCCTATAAGGAGAGTCCATCTAAGGCCTCGGAGGATTTCCAACATCTACAGCGATTTTTGGAGGGCATATACTGGCGCTGGCAACATTTTCCGTATGGTGTATCAACACTTGACGGTCAATCGTCTCAACTTCGTCAACCCTATCAATGGTACCCACACACGAAACGTTGAATCAATGTGGTCTTGTTTCAAGAAGTCAATGATCAAACGACCCAACGGAATCAATGTTCGCTCCAATCAACGCTACACCGATTACATCAACGAGTTCTTGTGGAAACAAGAATTCGTAGGCAATGTCTTCTTGAATTTCTGAGATCAGGTCACATTACTCTACCAATGCAAGTGAAAGGCTTTGCCAAAGTAAATCTTCAACCCAACGGTCCTCTTTAGAGCCACAAATTACCATGGGAAACCATCTAAAGTTAACGAAAATCCTTAAAAATGCACAATTTTCAAGTTTTTTTTGTGGTGAAAGCGCATTTTCCAGCTTGAGATGTTGAAATTCGGATTCAGCATGAAAAACTACATTAGAAAATGATATTTGAAGGAAAAAAATTGCCCCTTCCCAATCGGCGTAGTACCGAAAAGTGTTAGAAGCCTTGTAAAAAGAAAACAAAAACAGCTAGAAAAATAACACTAGTGTCAACAACTCGAATAAACCTCTACTTTAATAAAGTTCTTTCACCGGACTTTCCCTCTAAACGATCCTTTCTCCGTTCACTTTCTCTAGTTTATTTCCTAGTTATTTCTCTAATTTTATGCTGGAATATGGATTCGATTTATTAAGTAGAAAGCAGGCATTTGGGGAATTAAACCAAAACTTTTCTCTGAAACTCTCATCAAAATCCAATTTCGCTGTTTTATTTGTTCTCGAGAAGCGGGAATTGTTGTGTTGAGTGAAAGTATCGATTCTCGAATTGTGACTCCCCAAGGAGTTTTCTGAAAGTCGAGCTCAAGGATCTAAATTTGGGGCTTTGTTTTAGAATCTTACAATTAGAATTGTATCGTAACTTTACCCCACCGATCATTCAAAATGCAAATTTATCTTTTTAAGGTTAGCGTAAACTTTGAACTCTTTTTTAAGCGTTTTGAGATCTGTTTTGAGGAAAGTTCTGGAGTCTGGTGTACCAGATCCCGAACGTTTAGATCTGGTGTACCAGATCTCGAACGGAATTCAAGGTTTGCTTTTACAATTAGCAATTCATGTATCCAATCTAAATCTAAAATCGATCAAATCAAGTCATTTAGCGGAAATTCGTGGAATCGACTCCCCAGAGTTTTGAGAGAGTCCAATAGTCTCAAAACCTTTAAATTATCTGTAGGTGATCTTGATCTTGAAGCTCTAGTGGATCCTTGACGTTATCTGTGCTACCCACATTTTACATATATTATATCGTGTTTCTTTTTATCGGCCCTTTTCGTGTTATGTGTATGAATTCATGTGCTTTAATCTTAAATCTAGCTCACTTTATTTCAGGTCCTGAATAAAGTATCTATATATATATGTTGTGTCCGATTTAGATTCAATCTAAATCTTATATAGATTGAACAATAATATAAACATGCTTAATATATGTTCTTAAGCGTTTTCTGTAGTTCTCTGCATTTTTCAAAGGTCTGTTCAAAGGGTTACTGTCTTTTTCTGTTTTACTATCTTTTTCTGAAAAGAAAACCCAACTATGAAATAATCAATAAAAGACCTTTGAAAAATGCAGAAAACTACAGAAAACGCTTAAGAACATATATTAAGCATGTTTATATTATTGTTCAATCTATATAAGATTTAGATTGAATCTAAATCGGACGGAAATCTAAATCGGACACAACATATATATAAATCAAATCATTTAGCGGAAATTCGTATTTCCGGTGTTTCAGTTTACAAAGTGATTTTCAAGACTTAATTCAAAAAGAATTTGATTTTAAGCTATACTTTGAATTTTAATTGAATCTAAAATTTTGATATCTTTCATTTCTAGTTAAACTTTCCATCTATTTGTTCAAAACATTGTTCATTCAAAAAGTTCAAGAATCGAAAATAGTTGAGAAAGATGATGTTTTTGTGGGGGTGAAAACGAAAAACGATCCAAATGCGGATTGCTCATTTCGCTCATTTTACCGATTGAATGATCTACAAACACATGACTTTCTATTGATGATTTGGAAAATATCCTTTATTTGAACTTTCCATCTACAAACATTTGAATCTTTTGCTAAAACTTAAAATTTATCTCATTTTTGATCCTATTAGGTACATGCATAAGAAATGCGGATTTCAACATTAAATTTTCAACGATTCATCGATATCTATAGAAACCTGATATCGATGAATGTTATAAACTATTTGAAAGTTGTAAATCTCCTCTGCAAAATAGGCTAAAACGTGTTTCAATTGGTCGAACGATTGAAGAAATTTCGAGGCCGAAATGCGAGTGACCAAAAGAAAGGAATCAAAATCGAAATCGAAAAAAGAAATCCGCATTTCTTATGCATTTATCATTTTTGTTCTAAATGTCCACCATTTGGGAATCTCTATCAATTGCAAATCATGACAGGTGAAACTTTGATGAGTTTTATTAGGTTGGTGCCGCAATTCATTGCCTCAATCGCTTTGGAAAGGTCTCAACAGCTTTCTCGATCACACTCATAGGAATTTCATCCAAAGCCTTCTTCAGAGACTGTATAAGACTATCAATTGATGCGTGTGCCCTAGCGAAAGCTTTTGACTCCAAAATCGACCAAATAAAGTAATCGAGCGGGTTAAGGCGGCTAATTTTTGTGGCGTTTTGTTTGCCATTGCCGATTATATTAGGTACATGCATAAGAAATGCGGATTTCAACATTTTCATAAATTTCCAACGATTGAAACCTGATATCGATGAATGTTATCGATGAATGTTATAAACTATTTGAAAGTTGTAAATCTCCTCTACAAAATAGGCTAAAACGTGTTTCAATTGGTCGAACGATTGAAGAAATTTCGAGGGCGAAATGCGAGTGACCAAAAAAGGAATTGAGTCACTTTAGGGACAAGTTTAGTGTGGTCAAAATAGAGTTAGCTTCCCAAAATTGAAGATCTAAAAAAAGGATAACTATATATGAGTTCATTAAAAAAAGTCTAACGGTAATGCATTTACAGAAATTTAGATAGAGCGTAAGTTCAAAACCCTCAAAATTGTCAAAAAACCGGCTTTTTCATAAAAAAGAAAAATTATTGAAAAAACAAAGTTTTCTCATGAAATGATCCCAACTCTTAGTTATTTTGAATGATATTATTTGGAATGATATTTAGGGCGCGCATTTTCCACTATACAGTCAAAACCGAACTCTTGTGAAAGTGGGGTTTTCAAAAATACTAAACTTGTCCCTAAAGTGACTCGATTCCTTTTTTGGCCACTCGCATTTCGGCCTCGAAATTTCTTCAATCGTTCGATCAATTGAAACACGTTTTAGCCTATTTTGTAGAGGAGATTTACAACTTTCAAGTAGTTTATAACATTCATCGATATCAGGTTTTCATCGTTGGAAATTTATGAAAATGTTTAAATCCACATTTCTTATGCATGTACCTAATAGTAGTGTGCTTTGTGCTCAAACTGAAGCACACCCTTTCTGATGGATTCAATTTACATGCATAATACCAAGTACAGTACTATTCGAGTGCACCAGAAAGGATGCGTTTTAATATCGAGAGCACGCCCACTACCAGATTGTATTCTTGACCTTGATGTGTATGTTCTTAAAAATGATAAACGCATCCTTTCTGGTGCACTGAAATTGTTTTTCTAGCGATTCTAACATATGGAGTGAGTAAATTAACGAATTAAATATGCCAGAAAGGATGTATTTCTAATTTTGGGTCTATTTTTGGGCACATTCAATTTTTGAGTAGGGTTTTTTTTTCTCGATTGATATAAATGATACGCATCCTTTCTGGTGCACTGAAATTGTTTCTCTGTGTCAAAAACTACCGTAATCTTATCTCCAATTGTGATCGACTTTTTTGAAGGTTCATGAAGATACAAAAGTAGATAGATTGAAGAAAGATTACGGCAGCTTTTTGCAAGTATAACGCAATGGAAAACGAGTTACTCGAGAAGAACACAGCACAAAGCACAACCCATCAATTACTCGTTCATTTTTTTTCCAATTTTCGACAAAACTAATGTAATTTTCTGCAAGAATGGCTTGATTGGATGTCATTTTGACGAAAAACTCAAGAAAATCATCAAACCATGATTTGCTCATTCCCGAAAAAGATCGAAAACTCGTCTATTTCTCAATATTTTTTCCTTTTTTTAAAAAACCTTTCAAGGTCTTTTCACGAATCATTTGAAACTCACCAAAAAGTGAGTTTTTAAGGGATTTTTTTTAAGGAAACCAACTCTGCAGTGACCCTAATTGAGAGGTCATTTTTGAAACAGGGAACTTTTCTTCCAGAAAATCACAGGTGCGCTCAAAGTAGAGATTTTGTGTGAAGAAATTTCCAAATTATTTCCAAACCTCGGAAATTTTTTTTTGGTTTTGGTGTGCCCTTTTTTCTTGAAAGCGTTCTTCGGCCTATTGGGTGTGTCTCGCCTTTGTGCTCGTCAGCCTTACAACTGATCAGCCTTGTATTTGATCTTTGCATGCTTGTTAAATTCGCTTGCTTGTTTGTTACTTTGCTTTGCTTGTCAAATGCGTTTTTAGGTCCAAATTCTATTGGGTTGGTGAATTGA